TCTGCTTTGTATCAACGTCTTCCAATAACCACAGAATCTGTTGGTAGCCCTCTTTGGCAGCAAGAACCTGTGGCATGAAGCACGGAGCATAGTTTCCTCCCAGCTTAAATGCACCGGTGCCTCCTGGCCAAGCACGGACATGGTCATAGGATGCATACAAAGATACCGGTTTCACAGGTCTCGCAGGATCGTCTTCCTTAAAGAACGGCCCCGTGGGGGACACAATGGTGAAGAGAGTCGCATGAGAAGAGGCTACAACGCCCATGGCTGGCCTTGTACCGATCAGGGTGGGGCGTATATACAACGAATAGCCGGGCTCTGTAGGGATCCAGCGCTTCTCCACCAGTACCAACTGCTTGATGAGAGCTAGGAGAGCACCTGGGTCGAAAGAGGGCAGAGCTAATCTTTCTGCAGAGCGAGTCATTCTCGTCATATTGAGCTGTGGCCGAAAAAGAAGTGGTGTCCCGTCCGGTCCAAGGTATGCCTGGTTCGAGCTATCAGCTATCTCCTTATGCAGCGATCTACGCAGTGTACTACTCACCTTCATACCCTCGAAAAGGTTTGTAGAGTAGTGAAGACAATGGCTAGCAGGGTCCAACTGCAATGCTTCATACGGTTTAATAAGAGGTGTACCCCATCCTGACGCCGGGTCGTATTCCACTATGAGCATATGATCTGTCTTGGCTGCACCAAAGACTAAGGTAGAAGGCTCAGGTACAGGTTTAAGATCTTTTGCTCTTTGTATCTGTAGTTTAGATGCCTGTATATAATAGAGTCAAGATCTCGATACGCTTTGTTGGTGACTGGACACATACGTCCAATGGAGCAGGCTCAGGAAGACCGTTCTCTTTGGCAGGAGCTAGGGTACCATTCGTGTGCTGACCTGAAAGTACGACCATACTGGCAGAGTTTTTGAAGATGAAAGACGTTGTATGGTAAGCGTTCAGACTTTTGCAACAAAGTCTCGTCGACACTCATGGGGCTTATATATTGAGAAGGCGTAATGGTCGTGAGTCACACTGACCCTTCGGCCGGTCGGGTCCAAAATTGAGGCCTTAGTCGTGGACCTTCTATAGCCTTTCGGGTATTGCAGCTCCTCAAACGCAACTGGAGAATAACAGGTATGGAAAGAAAGGTTTTGTCAAAGGCTATGATATAACGTGCTATCAACAATCAACACCGCGTTGACCAGGGTTCCAACACCTTATTCACCAAATAGGTAATCTAGTCGAGCTTTAAGGCGTGCTCAATCTTGTGTTCCAGCTTGTGGAACAAGCCGGTCTTCTTCTTGTGGTGCTTGCACTCGCCAGTGCATTGATGATCTTCATCAGGAGAGTCGTCCTTATCACCATTTTTAGTGTCACAATGCCCCTCACTGTTACCAGGTTTTGTTGGAGCGGGTACAGGAGTGCTTGTTGTATGTTGACAACCTTTCCCTTGGTTGCATTCTGCAGTGCATTGGTGAGTAGCAGGTGGGTTAGAAGTAGTTGGGGGGTTATTTGGCTGGGAAACTTGGGGCTGCGTGACAGGGGTCGTATTGGGTTGTTGTGGAGTTGGCTGCTGTGGAGGCTTCCTGCATCTATTACGGCCTTCAAATCCCTCGCGGTACCTGTATAATCAGGTTAGCTCCGAGAGTCGGACGTAGACTTGGCATACCCGTCATCGAACGCCCACTCGCATTGTGAATCCCCGCAGCGCTGTACATGCTCTTGATGGCGCTGTTGAATCATGGAGTTGACAGTAATTTGGGGGTAGCTAGGGTTTTCTGCGTCACACCAGCCCTGAATAAACCCGTCTTCAAAACGCTTTGGATCGGTTGGACGGTTTCCGTGCGCCTTCCAGTAAGCAACGTGCGCATCTCTACATCCCACATGGTGAGATTATATCCAAACAATGAAGGCCTTCTCACCTGTGTTTGCACATCTCTTGCATCTTCTGTTCATGCGTGTCCTCTTGTGGGGGTTTATTATGAAGAGAGCGACGGCTGTCAAATCCTTCATGGTATCTGTAATATGGTCAGCTATTGTTCTAACTCGCAATAAAATAAAATAAAATAAAATAAAATAAAATAAATCAACCATACC